CTCTCAAATGCGCACCTGGGATTTGTTTTGGATATTTGATGACATCATGAGTGCATGCGTGCATGAAATCCAAGGATATGATGTAGTGGATGAATTCCTCGAAGCGGCAAAAGTCGCTCATGATGTTTGCATGGTGGAACCATGCCCAGTTTGTCAGGATGCAGTAGACGGGAGCTCTGATGTAGTGCGCTTGTCTTGCGGCCATCATTTCCACAGGCACTGCGCACAAAGATGGTTTGTGTCCCAAAGAAACTTTCGTTGCCCCTCGTGCAACCACCTTCTGGGAGGATGGAGCTAGTTCGCCGAACGCCCACAACCGCCGAACGCAACGGGGGCGCCCTTTTTCGATCCTTCAATGCGGTTGGCCGCCATGTCCTGCTGTGTCGTCTTCCTTGCTTGGAGAACCCAAAGGCATTGCTGAGATGTGCAAGCTGGAAGCTGGTCATGCAACACGCTCATGGCAGTTTGACACGTTAGTTTGCAGCACACATCTTGGCAATTCCATCATTCCTGTACAGAGCTTCATGGCCAAGGCCTTCTATCAAGGCAACTAGTGGCCGAATTCTTTGTCATGGGCAGTGATCCCGAATGGAACGTGCTTTCAGCAGTTTCAAGGCCTGCGTCAAAAACCATTGGTCGAATCAGCGGCCTCGTCGCCAATTCGGGATCAGCCCCCGGTCGATTTTTCGACTCCGCTTGGCCACTGTCAGAGGGCCTTGCTCAGAGTTGCTCGGAGAGCAGGCTCTGCTGAGATGACCATGCAGTTTAAAGCTGGTCATGTCACACTTCTGTGTCTAGAAAGCAGTCAGGTTCGCTCACAGAGTGGCCCAGCCCTTCTAGCAACGCAACCTTTTGGCCGAACTCTTTGTTGTTGGCCAAGTTTTCATGGTCAAAATCCCCGTATTGTCATGCGCTCCCGTGGGCAACATTGAAAGTTATGTGCCAAAGGGCCGGGAGAACTGGTTTGGGTCAAAGCTCAAAACTCCGATGTTTTTTTTGTTGGTAAGATATGGAAAGATGATGAGTGATGATGAAAGGTGTTGCCGTAAGTACCAGGTGCCAGGAACGTTGCGGCGTCCTTGTGATGAACTATACTGCAATGACCCACAGCCAGATGTGCTTCTCAAGTTCAGACCATGGCAGGGGAATTTCGCCACACCCCGGGGCTTGGGGGCCAGAAAAGAGTGTCATTGCTTGACAGGGCGGTTGAAGTGAACGTCCTTCCTTTAGGCAGGTGGCAGGCAGGGGGGCCCAAAGAAGCTGAATGCCAGGAATTTTGGAATCGCGGCGAAGTAGGATCCAGGATCAATCATATTCAATCCATGTTGAAAGCTAGTTGTAAGGCTCCTCTGAGGCTAATCTGGACGCTTTTAGGCCAAGTCTCCATAGCTTCCGTGCACAGTCGCAGGGTCGTTGGTCAGGCAGTTTGGTTTGACGCGTGGGGAAGACCGCATGACCTGGGTACTGATGAATGAAGTGTTGGTTTTAGAGCGCCTGTTCCTTCTTCGGTATCCATTGGTGCGAGTTCATTCATGCAGCTCCATCCCAACATTTGGCGCTTTGGGTACCGGTCCCTGTAGCTTTGGGGGGCACAATTCTTGTCGCGGTGCACTGACTCAGCTACCGGGGCTCAAGCTGCAAGAAGCAGTCGAGCCCACCTCCAAGCGCCTCCGCTGGGCTCAGGCATGGCCTGTTTCTCATCCCTTCGATGGCGCGCGAGCCGGGCACAGGTGATGCCCGAGCAAGTCCCGGAATCCGCCTTTCGTGTCCGTTTGGAGGTGGAGCTACTCAAGGATGCTGGGCGTAGATGTTTTGGTTCACTGATTTTGGTGTATGTTTGGTTGTTTGTTTCAGCTTTCATTGAAGATGCTTCATGCTTTCACCGTAGAAGACTATTAGTTAAGGTGGTGAACACAAAGTGCTAACATGGTTCCTTTGTTGTTTTTCTATTGAACAACCTTCTCCAGTGGAGCACGCACGAGACCGCTGTGCAAGGAAGAGACATGGCGGGGCTGGGGGATCGTGGTGTCCAGCGATGAGGCCATTCAGGAGCTGGTGATCGTTGCCATCCAGCAATCCTCAACAGTGAAAAACTGGAACCTGGAGCATCCTGAGTGCTTTGAGCTGGTGAAAACATGTTTTCCAAGGCTTACCCTCCCCCCAACAATCACTCAAGTGGACAAAACCACCTCTTGGTAGAGGAAAATCGTCCGCTTCAATGATTGTGGCAGGGGGATTGCCCCTTTAGAGAAAATATGGAAGTTACAGATTCCAGGGTGCCTAGTTGTCCTTAGAAACATCTTTGAGCAGAAAGTCTGGGCCTATATGGTTCCCGTCTGGCCCAGTTCAGAACTCCAGTTCAGTCGACCAGTGAGGTTCCAAAGTCCCGACCAGTTGATATACACAATTATATATTATATATATAGATAAATGACATGTTTGGTTTTTCATATTAGTTACAAAGATACTCTACTTGGCATTCCTTCTTAGTGGATGTCCTTGTTTGTCCTTTCAGTCCTCAAAATAGGTGCGACAACTAGAAGATTGCAGTAGTTTCGCGATGTCTCTTTCAGCCAATGTCTCCACCGAGGTGTCCCATCGAAGTGGGCCAAGCGATCCTGGAGGTGAATGGAAAGACCCAGCGGAACGAGATGCTGCAGGACCGCACCGAGCTTCGGAGCTTCACCGCGAGTTCGCTCGCTTCACCGAGAGAGATCTCGGAGGAGGCGGTCGCAGGATGGGTGGTGAAAGTCGCCGAAAAACTGACCACTTTAGAATGCTGCTACTCGTACTGTATATACAAATACACAGTACCTGCGGAAGATTTCTAGTTCGAGCTTTCTGCGTGCACAGAACACGAACGTGCATACAGAATGCCGAGCCTAGCGCATTGTCGACCCATGTCGTTCCCTCATCATGGCAGGAGCTTTGGGACGAAAAGGATGGGAAGGACCGGGTAGAGGTTTGTTCGTTAATGAACACTCCATCCTGAAGCAGACTCAGATCCGTTTGAGACAGTAGACTAGTAGACTCAGTAGACCTCCTGCGCTTCTTTTCTAACAGATAGAAACGGTTTTCCAAATCGGATTTGGTCCATCAGCTGTGTCATTGTTGCTTTAAATTAAAGTGATCTTGTCAGAGTTCTTCTGCATGATGATTCCATGATCTTATGATGCATGACTCATGACCACAGCCAGGATGGGAAGGAAGGGAAGGTGTCTTTAGAGATGCTGCTCGATGTACAGCTGACCCCGCGGCAGAGAAGCTTCTTCAAAGGTGCCATCCAGAGAGACCCAGCTGCCATCCAGAGAGACACCCAGGGAGACTGAAATCCATTAAACTTTGGGATCTGGATGAAGGAAGATCCAGAAAAGGGGGGAAGGTATGGTGTCCCTCATACATCTTGCTAGGTCTCTGTCCGATGAAAGGCTTTCTTTCGACGACCACAATCGAGTACGTGGTGGTTGGTTTTGTTCACCCCGAAATCCCAGGATATGACGCAGTGGGTGACTTCCTCGAGTCGGCCCACCTTTCTCACGATCTATGCGTGGCGGAGCCATGTCCAATTTGCCATGACCCAGTCCATGGGAGCTCTGATGTAGTTCGATTGCCCTGCGGCCATCATTTCCACAAACACTGCGCGTTCAAGTGGTTTGTGTCCCAAAGGAAGTTTCGTTGTCCCACCTGTAACAACCTCCTGGGAGGATGGAGCTAAATCCTGAACCCCGAGGTTGTGTGCCACTTTTGGGCTCCAGTTGCTTTGCCAAGGGGCCTAGCACGGAGACCAAAAATGGGCTGAGATGATCATGCGGATTGAAGCTGGTCATTTCACGCTTCTTGCTCGGGCCAAACGATTCGCACGGTTCGAAATGGTTTGAATATGTTTGAATTTGCATGTGTTCTCCCAGATTCTATCGTGGTGTCGTTTGACTTGGCCCAGCCCCTGGGATTAAAGCATTAACATGTTGGCTGAATCCTTTGGTTTTTGGCCAAATTCTTTGGAGTGGTCCTGGAAACACTCAAGAAGGCGCGTGCCACCTTGAAGACTAAGTAGGCTCAAGGATTCATGGCCGCCACGTGGCCTGTGGCCTTGATGTACTTTAGTTTTGCCATGTCATGACTCCAGTGGCTTGGTCAGAAGGCCTTGCCCGGAGATATTATGACCGTACAGATTTGTGATAGGTCATTTGATGCAAAATGGCTACCGGATCACATATTCCATATGACATATTTATGACATATTGACACTTTTCTGTACATGTATTCTGTTTCATTGATAAAAGCAGTTGCAGTTACGTGTTGTTTTGTTTTTGGATGATGTGTCCAGGCCCTTGTAACCTCGGGCCTTGGCTCGTGGTGAAAATCTTTCACAGGTCCCGGTCCCTCCCGAGGGTGACGTTGAAAGGGATGTGCCAAAGAGCCGGGAGAACTGGGTGTGGGTCAAAGAGACGGAAGATGGTGGCTGAACTATCTCCAAAGATCCTAATCCTATTTATAGGTCATATTTACGAAAATTAGCACATGAATTTCTCAAGTTCTTTGTCATGACTCATGATTGCTCATGACCCACAGCCATGGGATTTTGGGCAACGCAGTCTGGGCTCGTAGGTTGGCGAGCCTTTGAGCAGACGCTTTTCTTAAAAAGAAGCTTCAACTTCATGAACGGAACTTCTGCCGATTGGCCAGCAACTGGTCTGAAAGGATATGTCTAGGAACATCGGATTCTGTGCATGGGAGTCTAGGTTCGCGGAATTGAAGGGGGATGCGAGCCAAGTGTGTTGGGTACAAAGTTTCCCTTACCATAGGTCACTTGTGGAAGTGGTGGGGCAAAACTGATCTGAGTTGAAGGGGAAGGACACCCAATGCCCACGATGCCCAATGGAAGCTGCGAGAGGTTTGCTCATTTAGAGTGTCCCCCCCAGTCGTTCAGTGTCGTCGTTCAGTGCTGTCTTCACGACCGTTCACGACCTTCCACCGCGAAAAAACCGCGTCCTCCATGCCCCCATGGCCTGCCATTCATCCTGGTCCCCATGACCTTCACCTTCACTCTTCAGAGCCCCGGGACCCGAAACGGAAACAGAGCCGGAAAGCGACACGGTCGGAAACGACCCGGGGTCATCCCGTGACGGAGCTCCGTCACGGGGCTGGGGGTCCTCCAACTCTGGGAGGTGCCGCCATCGTCAACGGACATGAAGATTGTTCAAATTCTCAGGCCGTCCATCAAACCATACTGTACAGCATGAAAGATCATGAAAGGTATGCTACTCTCATTGATTAGCTAGGTTGTCACCTAGATACCAGTTGCTTGGGTTGGTAGGAAATGGTTCGTGTCGTGTGGTGTGCCGCCAGTGCCTGAGAGAATTCAAGTAAAGCACGTATTTCAATGCCCAATGAGCATCAGTTCCAATATGTTCCCAACCCTATTTGCACCAATTCCTGAACATGTCTATGAACCTATTGACAATGTCCATGGTAGCTTGGGGATGTTGATGAGTTCTGATGTGGGATCTCCCAGAAAACATTTCAAGAGGCACCACTCAGCCGGCTGCTCAGGATGGAGAGGCCTCTTCAGGAGAGAGCAGGCGCCGTCGGGAGAGTGGAATTGCCATGAATCGCTGGTGCCCCCGACACCGAGTTGCTTGCACCACAATGCACCAGGCCACCAGATGTGAAGGGGAAAAGGTAAGAAACTGTGAAGAAGTCGGCAGTTGGACTCCGTTTCTTTGCGAGTATGTCCTATCATTTGCTGTAAGGAGTGACCAAGGCGCACAGACATTTACAGACCGCTGTGTGGTTCTTTAAGTCTTTGGATTTGAGTCAACCTCCTTGGCTTACATCTACGGTGTCAAGCAGGTAAGTGGTGACACAGCAGGAGTTGATGCCAAGAAAAAGAAGAACAATAGGAAGATAAAGACTTCCTTTTCAACTCAACTATTCTGTCTTTGATTGGGGGTAAAACCTAGTACTCCAAGCAGCAGGAGTTTGTTCTTTTTTCAAGCTGGAGGACCCTTAAGAGCTCATTTGGACACATGCAGTCACATGCATATCCTTCCCGTTTTGGAAAGGCTAACATTGGAAGACTAGGAGCTGCTTTGCAACAACATCATAGAGCAATGTATTTGTTGTACAAGATGCTTTTCACAAGCTGTTTCTCACAAAACATGCATTTTGGTCCAGAATGTCCCTGGAATTTGATGATTTGATCAAGTCAGCAACCCTTTGTGTAACAGCTGGAGAAAATCAACAGAACTGGAGATGCAGCAAGAAGAGACATCAGCTGCACAGGGGAACATGAAATGCCAACCAACCTTTTTTTCTACGACCTTTGCTGGGGAACTATATCACTTGATATATCACCGAGTAGCCCTGGCAAGGCAGGAGTTCCCAGCAAGATCATGCACACATTTGGATGATGAACCTCGATGTTACTTTAAGCAAGGTCATCGTTGATGGTTACACCATGATGAACAACGAACCTGCATCATAAACTCCCTCAAACAAGTCATGTTGATCAAAACACCTCAAGTTCCTTGGTTTCAACGTGTTTTTCCCCCCAACCACAGGATGTCGCTTTCCTCGCACGAAAGCGGTGGAACCCTTGGGCCTGGGGCCCTTAGTTCCCCGCCTGCAGGATCCGCAGCAGCTTCGTGGAGCATTTGCAGGTTCGGTCCCGAAAAAGCCGTCGGGAGCGGTTGGCGTCAGGTCGTTTTCCGTCGCGACGGAGCGACGAGGCGAGCGCCTGTTCGCCAAAGCGTTTGCCGTGGCGTTGTTGGATCATCTTCAATTGGTGCACTGGGGAAACAGTTTTTGGGGGTTGGTGGTGCGTGGTGCGTGACATACTGATGTCAAGTGTCACCTGAAAGATGATGACGAGCGACTCCAACACTCTTAGAATGGCCCATAATGCAGCGGTGAATCCGCGTTTGGAGACATCCGCAAGAAGACCATGCGCCGCATGCGTTTTCGCGCGCCTCTGTGCGGCGCTGGAATTCTGCTTGTTGGATCTGTATTCAGACTGCATCAAGACTGAGCTCACAGGTGGTATAGCTACAATATGCTACAGTATTCTGCGTGGCTTGGAGCCTGAACTCATTCCAGCTTTGCCCTATTGCATTGCCCAAGGGCGCAGCTAGCTTGCTCAAAGATCAAGTCAGCAGTTTGTTTGTGGATTTCCGCACGAGCTTCGCGCACAGCACGGTGCGTTGAGGATGCACGGTTCGCAGGACATTGCGATGACATGGGGCCAACTGCAGGTCTCCACGGTCCTGCCATGCAGCATGCAGGTTAGAGTTAGAGCTTGTGTGATGGTTGGCGTATTAATTAAGTAAAAACGTATTCAACGTCATGTAGACTCTAGATTCCCCAAACCGCCCAATTTGGTTGGTAAAACCTCTTCGTGGGGGGTTACTATGTTCGATTAATCAAGAGTCAATTATGACTTCATGGAACCTCCCTGTGCAAGCCTATTTGTCAGTCTTGCCAGGGATATCCAGGGATTAGACAAAGACATGCAATAGACGATGGTGAAATCAGCGGCACACATGGATTTTGTGCACGGGTTGGGAACAAAGATTCAGTCAGCCAAACATGTGTAAGTGTAGCTCTCCGAGCTAGCACATTGAGCAGAACAACGCATGTTGCAACTTTGCGTCAACCTCAAGATACTATAGGTGTATCGCGCAACATACCAAGTAATAAAGAACACGACTTGACGACCACTTTTGGTTTGGGAAAGATGTCCAGGCCATTTGTCCATCGCCACAGGGCTCGACAGGGCTACCTTGGTTCTTCGAGCCTTGTGGTTTTCGCGGTGTGGACCTCGACACGAGTCGACATGAGGCGAGTCCACACCTATCAGGTGTGGTGGGAACTCAAGCCCCACATCGGATCATTGTCCCACATCAGAATCTTCACGACGATGAATATGTCTGATTCAGCGTCTGATTCGCTTTGGGGAAGTGTACAACAACACCCCACCAGCCGTCGGTGGAGGGTGAGAGCCGTGCTACACCAGTTGCTTCCGCGTTCACAGCCGCGTCAGCGGTTGTGCATCAGAGCGTTCGCCGTGTAGTTCACGAGAGTACAGAAGAGTGACCACCTGGAATTTCAGGAGAAGACAGGCGAATTCGGCGTAGTTCAGGAGAAGTTCAGGACGGAAGCCCACCTGCCCAGACCCGACCCAAGCGAGGTCTCACAAATGCTGTGGGGTCCATGGGGGTCGTTTCATGGGTCGGGTGGGGGTGGGGTTGGGGCGAGGGCAAGAACTTCACGTGCTACACCAGTGCTATGCTTTTGGAGGAAGACTTATCATTTAGTCAAGAATGTATACAGGCTTGTGCATATGAATAGTTTGGATGTTCTATTGATATATTTCGCTTGAACAGAGATAGTTCCTGGCTTATGCTCGCCGACTGAAAATCGTCACAGCATCAGGTCCCCTTGTGCTTGCATGATCCAACGATTACTATATGGTGTTTTGTATTTTTCTCATATGAAACAGACGAACAAAAGCGAAGAGTAAGTTTAAAATAACAGCTTTTGATTAGAAGATATCAGCTGATTAGAAGCAGACATATCATATCAATCCGTTGATTCAGCTAGTTGGGCCCTGCTTTGGTCTTGTCTCTGGGGCTTCATGGGGCTTCATGGGGCTTCGTACTTCTGCTGGTCTTCGTACAAATCTCAGCCGCCGTACTTCAGGCACAGAAGAAACCCCAGAGGCGCGGTTCACGTTTTTCCAGGGGCCCAGAATGGTCCAGACGGGTCCGCCACAGTATTTGTGTGTGTATTTTGATGTTTTGACATACTGTATTTGATAGGGTGTCTCCATTTAGGAGGTTTTAGTTCTCTCAGGGATCTCTGGGGAGTCTCCTTATTTTGTTACACACCCATTTCTTACCCAAATCCAGAACCTTGCTGCTGCTAACGCACCACGCAGTGAACCTGTGAGTTTTGACGGCGTGAGCGGGTGAGACGTCATTCTCCGATGCACGTTCGTGCTGTACTCGTACGTGTCTTCCATCCACTCGGTCCAGTCTCTCGTGGTGTTGTTCCTACATTGTTCCACTCGTACAGAAATCAGATCGACTCTTCCTGAAAATTGGATTTGTATATCCCTAAGAATCATGGGACCCTCCGTAGCGGAGGGTTTTGACCCTGCAGTTCGCAGGGGTTTGGACCCGAACCAAACCTTCACCGAACTGAGGGTCCTTGATTCTTGGGCCGGATAGACTTTTGGCACTAAGT